AATTTCCACGGGGAGTACTGCTTCGGCACCATATGTCATGGAGAAGGGTGTTTCACCCGTGGTGGTTCAGCTCGTTGTCCTGTATGCCCATAAGACTTTTGGAAGTTCTTCGGCCCACTTCCCCTTCAAATCGTCGAGCCTTTTCTTTAGGGTATACTTCAATATTTTGTTGACAACTTTGACCTGACCATTGGACTGTGAGTGTATTGGTGTTGAGAAGTCCTTTCGAATGCCCAAGTCTTCGCAGAACCTGCGTGTTGAGGCGTTATCGAATTGTCTCCCATGGTCAGACACAATTGAGCGTGGGACCCCAAACCTGCACATAATGTTATTCCATATAAAGTTAGTGCAAGCTGCCTCCGTTGTTATAGTAAGAGCCTTTGCCTCTGCCCATTTAGTGTAGTAGTCTACTGCGACGATGGCAAACTGGAAGCTGCCTGGTGCGGGATGCAAGGGTCCAATCAGGTCGATCCCACATTTGGCAAAGGGCCATGGGCTAAGAATGGAGGTTAGGTTTTCTGGGGGTGCTCTAGGAATTGTGGCATATTTTTGGCACTTATCGCAACGCCGAGCGTATTGAAACACGTCATTTTTAAGCATAGGCTAATAGTACCCCTGCCTCAAAACCTTGAGAGCTAGAGATTGCCCCCAGTATGATTGCCACACACTCCTTCATGGATCTCCCGTAGGACTTCTTGGGCCTCGTTGCCAGTTAGGCACCGCTGCAAAGGCGTTGAGTAGCCTCGTCGGTAGAGCAAACCATCGTATAGTAGGTACCGGGCGGCTCTATACCTGATCCGTCTGGCTTCGTCCTTATCATCTGGTAACTTGGCATCCATCAGATATTGGATGAGTGGCATCATCCAACTCTCGTCCGTTTGGACGGTCAGAGTCTCAACTTTTTCATCAATAGTCGGCCGCTTGAGTTCTTCAATGGGGACGACCCCTAGAATGTCGAAATCCTTTGAAGATGTCAGTTTTGCCAAAGCGTCGACGTTGGTGTTTTCAGCTCTTGGTACTTGTAGTATCTTATAGCTTTTGAACTTGATGAGTTCTTCCTTTACTTTTCTCAAGTATGCACCCATTCTCTCACCGCGCGCTTGGTATTCTTCTTTTACTTGTCTGACGACTAGTTGAGAGTCACCAAAGACGCATAGCCTTTCGATCTTCAAGTGACTTGCTAATCGTAATCCTGCGATCAGCGCCTCGTATTCTGCCTCATTGTTCGACGCCTTGAATTTAAATCGCACCACTGAAGTAATCTTGTGGCCTTCAGGGCTAATTAACATGATGCCGGCTCCTGACCCGTTTTCACTCGACGCTCCATCCACGTAGAGTTTCTATTCCATCATCTTGGTTTCTTCATTTGTGGTTGGCGTCGGCCTGTGAGAGAATTCGGCCAGGAAATCTGCCAGCGCCTGCCCTTTGATTACTGATCTTGGCACATACTTGATGTCGAATTGGCTCAACTCCACCGACCATTTAATAAGTCGACTGGAAGTCTCAGGCTTTTGCAGTGCCTGTCTTAACGGGTAGTTTGTGAGAACCTGTATTGTGTGGGACTAGAAGTAGTGTCGAAGCTTCCTTGAGGCCACCATCAAGGCGAGGGCTAATTGCTCCATCTCGGTGTATCTTGATTCGGCGTCGAGGAGTCTTTCACTTACATAGTAGACTGGCAGCTGGACCCTTTCTTCCTATCTGATTAGCATAGAGCTCACAGCATGCTTGGATACGGAGAGGTAAAGGCTCAATTCCTCACCGGGAATAGGTTTTGACAGGATTGGGGGCCTGCCTAGGTGTTCCTTTAATCTTTGAAAGGCTTCCTCACATTGTGGCGTCCATTCAAAACGCTTGCTTCCTTTCAGAGCATTGAAGAAGGGGACACATTTATCCGTTGCTTTGGAGATAAACTTGTTTAGAGTGGCAACACATCTCGTCAACCTTTGTACCTCTTTTGGATTAGTTGGAGATCTCATATCCTGCAAGGCTTTTATCTTTTCTGGATTAGCCTCTATTCCCCGGTTACTGACCATGAAACTAAGAAATTTTCTTGATCCAACTTCAAGGGATTTAGCTTCATGCGGTATCTCCTTAATATACCAAACATTTCTCCCAAATGGTCGATGTGTTGGGTGGCCCTGGTGCTCTTTACAAGCATATCATCAACGTAGACCTCTATTGATTTCCCGAGTAGTTGGGCAAACATCTTATTCACAAGCCTTTGGTATGTTGCCCCTGCGTTTTTCAATCCAAAAGGCATTACCTTATAGCAATAGAGGCCCTTATCGGTTATGAATGATGTGTGCTACTCATCAGACGGATGCATGAGGATCTGATTGTACCCAGAGTAGGCATCCTTAAAGCTTAACATCTCATGCCCTACTGTGGTATCGACCATCTGATCTATTCGAGGAAGTGAGAAATCATCTTTTAGGCAGGCTTTGTTAAGATCACTAAAGTCGACGCATGTTCTCCATTTTCCGTTAGGTTTGACCACCAAAACGGGGTTTGAGACCCATCGAGGATAATGGGCCTCCCTAATGAAGCCATTGTTGATCAACTTGTCGACCTTTTCTTTCAATGCATCATACCTCTCTAGGTTCATGGGTCGGCGAAATTTCATCGTACGGTGAAATTTCGTCAACAGGATTACGCCGGGTCACCTTTAGGTATCCTGTCAGGTTACCGGCTAAAAAGCGTTTATTTGATATTGAAAATGATGTGGTAAAGCGTGTATGAAGTTTGTGGTAAATATAATGGGAGGACTGTGCTTGTATGAAAATAAAGGCACAAGGTTTATAGTGGTTCACTCTATTAATGAAGAGCTACATCCACTTTTCTTTGTATTTCTTTTGGATTCTTTTACAATAACTCTCCATTTCTACTCTCGGGTTGAATATGAAATAAGCAAAACTAAAAGGAAAAATCCCCCTATACTCGTTTGGGGCTTTGCCCCCTTTTATAGCCAAGGGTTCCTTCGTGGGCAGTTCCTCTCGTAGGCAGAAGCACTCGAGTGGCCTACCCTCATAGGCTCAGACTGTAGCCCACTAATCACCTTTTGAACTGTACACTCGTCCAATTACTCTTCCATTACGGCTCTGTAGACTCCCTGTAACCCTCCACCGTTCACTGTTGGGCGGTTTAGGGGCTTGTAATTAATGTCTGCACTGCAGACATCTCCTAGTGCCAGGCGCAAGTTGGTTGTGTCAGACACCTTTCTAGAGATACGGGTGTCGCCTCCCATGCTCTTCCCTCGACGTCTACGCTGAGCGAGCAGTGGCCTCTTCTGGCCGCCGATCCTTCCGTGGCGTAGGGAATTTGCATAAGTCATAGGGTCGACGGCATAATAGGTCGACGCCCTAAGGCGGGCTTTCATCGCAGCGTAAAGGGAAAGTGAGCTTCAGGCGCCGAGGGTTATCGCTTTGTGAGGAGAAGTAAAGTCACGTGTAACGCTGTCGCTATCCCACGTGTCATCTGGATTTTCCCACACAACATGAAGCATTAAAAGTTAACAGTTTTATTATTTAGATTTTAAAAGCTTTTTTGTTTTCTGAATTTTGACTTTAAAGTAGTTAATTTGAAAAAAAAAAAAAACCATAGCAATTTTTTTTTCAACAAGATGCCAAACCGATTGAGAATTGACCGGTAAAAACTGACCATCATCGCTTGAAAACGATCGATTTTGTTATATTCGGTCGGTGATCAGTTTTTATATCTTGAAAAATAGACTAACAATCCTAATTAATCAATAGTATCTTAGAATTTGGGTGGGTGTCATCACCCATTTTAATAGGGTTTCTAATCTGAATATGATTAGAATGATCGGCCTCAATATTTTTCTCGAGATCATTATGTAATAATTAACTTAATTGATTATGCATTAATAACTCAAATTATTAATTGTAGTCTCTCAACTTTGATCCTTATGTCAGCGTTTCTTATAAATCACGCTTACAAGACATTTTTATAGTACTATTTGCTGAATCATTCTGAAATGGACAAATGCAATATATGTAAATAAGGTGTCGAATTAGATTTCATGTGCAATCTCACAATTGTAGTTGTGCATTCGGAAGGCACACTTTAGTCCTAGGTACCCATAGACAACTTATGGATTCTTGTTTCCAAAAATATGCTAAAAGTATGCCAAATGGACTTTTCATATTATTTATTCTTGAATGATTATGAATGTTTGGCCTCATGGCATCAATCTTAAATATTGTAAATTGAAGAACACCACAAGACGTAAGTGACCATTTTCTTATGAAAAAGGAGACAAATTCCCCTCAGAATCTATAGGTCTAGATTTTTTACTCTTTATCTTTAATTAATATATTTTTTATCAATTAATTTTATTAATTAAAAAAATATGAATTGAACGTAAATAGTAAAAATTTAGACTTATGCACTCTTAAAGTAAGCCATCAATTTTTTTTTTCTTTTCCAAAAAAAAAAAAGAAAACAAAAAGAGAGAACTACATTGCTACATCTTAAATTATTCGTTTTTACATAATAGATTCCATATTTTCTATTTTGACAAAATGCACCCTAAATTTTAAAATAAATACTAATTAAGATCTAATATGTAATGAAAGTTATCAAATTAAAAATCATGTTTTAAAATATCTAACTGATTTTAAAATTTATGAAGCATTTTGTTAAAATCTTCGTTCATTTTACCGATTCGAGTTTTGTTACAGTAAAAAGTTCTCAAAAATAGTCACATATAATTTTTTTGTTACAGTAAAAAGCTCTTATATAAAATTATATCTCAACTCGAATCAACGAACTAAACAAACCCTAAAAATATAGAATTGTTATATTTTATCTTTTTTTTTTTTTCCGTGAAAGGGTCATCCACTGCCACTCTAGTTGCCTTGACTCCGCTGTATAACTCTTACTCTGACTCAAACGCAAGAACGACGTCGTTGCCATAGAGATTCCCAAGTCAGACGTCAAAACTTGCCTTCGCAAAAGTGTATCTATCCGCCTCTCTGGTTCTCTTGTCGTTCGAAACTGGAAATTCTTTCTGGTCCCAAATAGCTCACTCCCTAGTCCCTGCGTAACTAGCAAGCGAACCAAGGAAAACGACGCACAAAATCAACTAGATTATCATCACTAACAGTACTATATAGACCCCAAAACACAGTTTCTTTCTTCGTTTTCTCTCCCAAACAAGCAATTGCTTCAATCAATGGCTGAGCCCAAAACCAAGTACGATCGCCAACTCAGGTATTCTTCTCTCTCTCTCTCTCTCTCTCTCTCTACATTGTCCATAATAGTAGTACCTTCAGCTGGTAATTTGCCCTATGTACTTTCGGTACTAACTCTCTGCGATCATTTTTCTTTTTGTTTTCATTTTAGCGAATGATATTTCTTCTTTGTACGGTAATTAAGTTTCTGAGGTGTAGGGATTTCTGTTCAAGAATCACAAGTTTTTTCTTTTGTTTTTTTTTCCTCGGAAGTTTAGGATTTTTTTTCCTTCTTGAATTTATCGTCCGAAACAAACTTCGACAAAATGTCAGGGTATTTCAGCTGAGAGCCGAAGGAGTTTTCGCTGAAAAAGTGTCAGTTTTCTGTTGAGATATTGTGATAGTAATGAGTTCAACAATCATTTTTGGTTATGAGACGATTAGAATACGATTTGTGAGAGAATTATAAGGCTGAAAGATTGCTGATGCTATTGTAAATGGGTAGATATTTGACAAGTAGAAGCTTGCTTTTACTTTCTTAAGTTGTTAGTACAGAGTTTTGTTTTGATTATCTTCTTGGTTGGAGTTAGTAGTTTTGATAGGATTTTTTTATTATTTTTAAGCAAAGTTTGTTTCTAGATTTTTGGGGTTGGTTTGTGATTTTCCTGTTTCAAAAATTTGCAGAATATGGGGTGATCAAGGACAGGCTGCACTTGAGAAAGCGAGTATATGTCTGCTAAATTGTGGTCCTACGGGTTCCGAAACACTAAAAAATCTTGTCCTTGGTGGGATCGGAAGCATCACTGTTGTAGATGGATCTAAAGTTGAATTGGGCGATCTAGGAAATAATTTTATGGGTATGTTTCTGTTTGTTTTACTTTTGGTTACTTTAAAAGTTTTCTGTACTCATATTATTTTGATATTGTTAGTTGATGAATCAAGCGTTGGGCAATCGAAGGCAAAATGTGTGTGTGCATTTCTTCAAGAGCTAAATGATGCTGTTAAGGCCAAATTTATAGAGGAGTATCCGGAGGCACTGATTGAGACAAACCCATCGTTTTTTTCTCAGTTCACCTTGATTGTGGCCACTCAGGTATGGAGTGGTGACGAAGATTTTTACAATATTAGTAATTAGTGGAACAAATTTGTGGATGAGAAGAAATTTTTTGTAGAAAAGTAGATTGTTAATCATGACACTTGTTTTCTTGTTATGGCCTATGCCGATTTAGCTATCCTTTCCTTTGTCTTTTTGGTTTGTGGTATCGTGTTTCTATGCAAGTTCCATTTTCCTGAAAATTTAGTAACATTTCTGTTATCAGAATTTTGCTTAGCTTCCATACGCTAAAATGTTTAATCTGGGTATTAGTGTGGCTTCCATTTGCTGTTTCAGTATGGTCTTTTCTTTTTTAGGATAGCAATACTCTATGAAAAACAAAAAAATGTTTCATGATATATCATGAAACCAAACTTTAACTTGCTAGGGGCGAATGACCAGGGACCACACATAAATTTTACTTTTATAGGACTCACAGAATTTGGACAGTGCTTTAATGACATTCATGTTAATATTCTTTCTTGATTTGTGTCATTGCTCTATTCCCTCTCCTAAAAAAGTTGTACGGTTCAACTCACGTGCTCAAAATACTTGGTTTTACATTATTTTTATCTGCATAGTTCGCATTTTTTTTAACTGTTACTGTTTGCAGTATCTTAGTGGGTATCTACGTTTCTCACTTTTAATTTAAAGCATTTGTTGTGGTTCCTAATTATTGCATTAACTTTATGAGTGCATTTAATGGAGTCTTTCTATTTCTACAATCAGCTAGTCGAAGATTCAATGATAAAGCTTGATAGAATCTGTCGGGAGGCAAATGTAATGCTGATTTTTGCTCGCTCCTATGGCCTAACAGGGTTGGTTCGAATCAGTATGAAGGTAAACTGTATTACTTTCTTATTGGAATTGCTCTATATTTGATATTGTCAAAAGTTGGGACTGGAACTTTTGTGCTATAATCAAGTAGATTGTTGGAAACATGAAAATGACCGACAATGTTTTTCTGGAACTCTGTGTCCTTGATGTTACTACTTTGAATGAATGATAAAGGAAAATATTATATGAATCGAACTCTTCAATTTGCCACAAGTTTAGTCTAAATGGGTTCATGATATTATAACATTTTTTTTGGGTATCCTAGGGTGCAACGTTAACCTTGCCATTGATTCCTGCAGGAACATACTACTGTTGAATCAAAGCCTGATCATTTTCTTGATGATCTTCGATTGAATAACCCATGGCCCGAGCTCCGCAGGTGTGAATTTAATTTACTGTCTTCAATATTTGGTTTTTGTCCTATGTTAACTGGTAATACATATTTTTTATTTTCGAATCTTTATCCATGTTAACTTTAAATTCGTTCCTTAGATTTTGACGACAAATTTACTGATGATAGGTTTGCAGAAACCATTGATCTAGACGTGTCAGATCCTGTTGCCCACAAGCACATACCATATGTTGTCATTCTTGTCAAGATGGCACAAGAGTGGGCCAAAAGCCATGGTGGTACTCTTCCCTCAACCAGGGAAGAGAAAAAAGAGTTCAAGGTTTACCTTCTTGGTTTATACAATTTCCCTTATTGCTCTTTTGATTATGTTATAGTGTGTAATTCATTTCAGCTACCGAATGTTCTAGGATCTTCTTAAAGCCAGAACGGTTGCAGCTGATGAAGATAACTACAAGGAAGCTATTGAGGCCTCCTACAAAGTCTTTGCTCCACCGGGAATTAGTAAGCACAAGAGTTCTAATCGTGATTGTTAGTTTGTGCTCGAAGTTGACATTTTGAGTTTGTTTCATACGTTTAGTGGATTAAAATGGGTTCAATAACCATCCAATAATCCACACAGATAAATGGCAGGGAGAAGGTATTGGTGATAGATAATATTGTTATCCACTTTCTACAGGGATGTGATTATACTGGTAGCATTTATCTAGTTTGGAGTAGGAGCTGTATTTATATTCTCTCCTTAGCCATATAAGTTAATACCATACGATACTAGGGGGGGGTCAAGGGACAGACTTATAGTTAGCACAGCAGGATATCAACTTTTGAAACAATTTAACTAAAGTGGTTCCATGGTGGTGTTTCTTAGAAAGAAGAGATGGTTGGCATCTCCCCTGACAAGGATGGGATCAACCTTTAGGTTTCCCTGTTAACACACCGGGGTCTATCAGATAAGGCTAATTAAAAAATGTTTGGTCCATGGTGGTTCCTTCATGTTTATCAAGTTTTGAATCAATTTAACTAGAGTGGGTATCCTCCATGTTTGGTCCATGGTCATGCCTTCATGTTTATCAAGTTCTAATGTGGACTAGAGTACCCTTTTTTTTTTTTTGGTTATAAAAAATTGTTTTATCCTAAAAACCAATATCAGCGTCGTTAATAAGGTGGGTGAATGTTCTTTTCTACACCTCAGGTTCGGATTTACAGCAGATAATTAATGATAGCTCTGCGGAAGTTGATACCAATTCATCAGATTTTTGGATAATGGTGGCAGCTTTGAAGGTAGGTTAGACCAATATTTCATCTAAGGCATCCTTAAATTGTGTGCTTCGCATTATTGGCTGACACTCAACATCTCAATGACGAAGTTGCTCTTCTAGCTTTTTAAAAAAATCCAATGCCATCTTCCCGATACTGTACAGGATGCTTTTCCTGTTTCTTTCCCCCCCGGGAAGGGCGACAAATTTTGGTGTCGTACCCTTCTACACCTCAATTTTCCTCTCATCTTCCCTCTTGCACACGCTTGCAACAAATTCGCAGATTGGTAGTATTCTTGAAAATATTTTATTTCCGCAAAAGGCCTTGGGGATTGTAGCCATCTGGTCTCTGAATGATAAAATCATACAGGAATCAATAAAGTTCGTGTGTGTAAATAAATACTTAAATATCTGAGAACTCGATTGAACCTGATCCATCTAAATGTGTTCAATATCAACTATCAAGTACTTTTTTCAGACACTTTAAGCATCCTTTGTGAGTCTCCAAAGTTGTAAGATTTGAAATATCATTTGCTTATTTGCAGGAATTCATAAAAAATGAAGGCGGCGGTGCGGCACCCCTGGAGGGATCAATACCCGATATGACATCTTCAACTGAGTTAGTGTCCTAAATCTCCTCATATTCCATTTACAATGCTACTCTCTCAGAAGTAACTTTCTGACACAAAAGCTGAATCAATACCTTGGTAGGCAATATGTAAATTTGCAGAATATCTACCTAGCCAAGGCCGAGGCTGATTTTCTTGCTATTGAGCAACGGGTTAGGAATATTTTGAAGAAAAATGGTAGAGATCCAAATAGTATCTCGAAGGCAACAATAAAAAGCTTCTGTAAAAATGCTAGAAAACTAAAAGTAAGTGAATTACTCTGCGTTACATGTAACTAATGTGTGGATTTTATTCCTTTTCTGGCCAAGTTTGATCCAAATTGCTTGCTTATCTCTTTTCAAAACATTTGCTTGCTGACCATGTTTGTATGGATTGACATTTAGCTGCGAATTAAGGACCTAATGTTGTAGCACGTCTTCTATATGATGCGGGCAGAGCTTTATAGTTCATGTTTTCCTAGTTAAATTTAAGACTGCATTTTTGCACCCTGTAGGTCTGTAGATATCGCCCTGTAGAGGACGAATTTAATTCTCCAATTTTGTCAGAGTTACAGAAGTATATAACAGATGAAGATTACAGGTGAGATTGGGTTATTGCCAGGGGCTTTCTTCTCCATGATAGTTTTGAAATTGGGAGGCCATTGTGTGTAGAAATGAATGCTTATTTTGACATGAATCAGAATCTTCTTGGTAGGAACCGAGTCAACTTAGCTTTCAAAAACTTTTGGCAGATGATAGGGTTACTTTTGCAACCACCTAAATTTTAATAATTCTTACCTATATTCTTGTTTAATTTCTTTCAAGTTTATGCACGATCACTTAAAACCAATTCACCCTTGAACCAGATGGGAGGGGGAAAGAGGAACATAGCCAAGAAGATTTTCTTGCTTACACTTTGTTGTTTGCCATTTGTACATTCGACAGTGTTGCAGTAGGATTCTACATTCTGTTTAGAGCTGTTGACAGGTTTGCTGCTAATTACAACAGTTTTCCCGGACAATTTGATGGGTAACGCTCAATGCTATAAGACACTGTGTTACATAGTTACATTCAAATTAATAGTTACCCTCATGGCATATTATTTGCATGCTCAAAGTGGTAATTCTCCTGCAGAGCGATGGATGAGGACATATCTCGATTGAAGACTACGGCTGTTAGCCTACTTAGTGATTTGGGTTGCAATGGATCGACTATAACTGAGGACCTTATCAACGAGATGTGCCGATTCGGGGCTTCAGAGCTTCATGCCGTTGCTGCTTTCGTTGGAGGAATTGCGTCACAAGAAGTGATCAAGGTTTTGTTTTTATTGCTTTAGATTCTACTTTTCCTAACGCCACCCCTAAACATAATATTGAAATTGCAGTTTCTTTTAAACATATTTTTTTTAACATACAATCCACAATGTTGCTGCAGCTCATAACAAGACAATTTGTACCCATGTCTGGAACGTTCATCTTCAACGGTATCGATCACAAGTCTCAACTTTTGCTACTCTAGTGGATTTCAAGCTAAAAACTGGTAAGTCTTACTTAATATGATGCGTTGCATGTCGTATAACCAGTGTGTTGAACCTCACGCTGGCCTTTGTTTTTCCCTGGCAGGTATCTTCATAATACGGGGCTGGTCAAGAGCTTTCGAGGTATAATCTTCCTACATCCTATCTACGGCCGATTCTTGAAAGGTCTTCCCTCAAATGTTGTGAGGAGCAGGGATTTAGCTTGATAAACCCCTCCCGGATGTTGAAAATCTTTTGTAACTTGTTTCATCAATGTGAAGTTCGAGATATTTGTAAAGTCGGTCGGACTGGCTTTATAGGAACACCCAAAAAAAAGAGAAAAGTAATTAGGAATATAACTTCTGTTTTAATATTAGAGAGAGCCAGAGGCATTATTTGACGTGTTGAAAAATTTTGGATGGCCTCCTATAATTAATGACAGCAAAGAGAGGTAATAACCGCGACATGATAAATGTTTTTTTCCGTTTCCTTTGCTTGATCTTTTAGTCCCAAGTACCGACTTTTACTGCACACGTCGTTGATGGTTACATACAAAGACGTTACCTGTATCTGGATGTGTTTAGCAGTCTCAAACCCAATATTCTGCTCCTTGGGGATTACAAATAAAACATCTACCAGCAAAGAGATTACTGACTTCGAGATGAGGACTGAAATTGCTTGGTTGCGTGGTTGGTGTGGTAAGGGTAAATGCTATAGTAAAACGTTAATCTTAAGCCTCATTTGTTTTACTAAATTAAGTTTTCAATTTCAGTTTGGTTACAGTACAAAATTCTCATGAAAAGTCACATTTATTTTTTTACTACAATTAAAAATTCTCATATAAAATTACATCTCAATTTAAATTAAAAACTCAAATCGGTGAACTGAAGGGAACCCTAATGACAAAGATTTGATTCTCATCAAGTTTGACAGCAGTGGTTATATCGTGCTGTCAAATAACATTCTGAATGACCTAAAAATTTAAACATCTTGAATTTGCAGGATCAACGTTTGATTTTTGGTGCTCGAAGCTGCAAAACCTAGTTCTTGAGCCTTGACATTTTAAAATCCTATAACTGCACGAGGAAAACTGTAATTGCTAATTTTGTAAGATGCTTTTCCGTAACCACACCTAATAATCCTAAAAGTAATGACCATGAGAGAGAGAGAGAGAGAGAGAGGCCTTTCAGTGCAACAAGAAATACAATTGGCTGTCCAAAATTGGAGATTCTCATTCGTCACATTAGATATTGGTGGTGGGGGGAAGAAAGATGAAGAAAATTCAAATCAAAGCAAAAGCAGGTAGAGGCCTTTCAGTGCAACAAGAAATACAATTGGCTGCCCAAAATTGGAGTTTCTCATTCTTCACATTAGATATTGGTGGTGGGGGGTGGGGAAGAAAGATGAAGAAAATTCAAATCAAAGGCAAAAGCAACCTGCCTGCTTTCTTGGACATGAAATAGAACTTTTATGATGTATGTTGCTGCCCGCCTATCTGAATTGATTCAAGTCTTGGTACCGCCGGAAGCTTTGTGGGAAGGATTGTAGACACTGAATTCACCAAAGTCTCGCCTACCACTGGAAAAAACGGGGCTCATGATCAAACCCTTGGGACATTTGAACAAACATTTAGCGACTAAACATACTAGTAGTGTAGCCATGCCATGGAATAAAAAGTGATGAAACCAAGAAACCAATAAGAAATAGATGGTGTCAACTCGTCTGTTTGAAACTGAGCATTTATATCACCTACGAAAGAGTTTTGATGTGCGTTTGTTCATAGATATGGATATGAGGATGGAAGAGTCCATGCTTGGCATTTTTTGAATGTATCATATCTGGAGAGAGAGAGAGAGAGAATGGTGGTGGTAATGAATAGTGGGAGGTGTAGTGATGCTTCTATTGCAATGGAAGATGAAGTAGCCATGTTAGTAACAAGCACATTTAAACCTTGTCAACTCGATTACTGACCCTAGTTCACTATTATTTATATCATTACTATGAGCTTTTACATCTTCTATATGGTGCAATAAGCTTCCCTAGATGCCTATATTCTATACAAAACCCTTAATTCATGACTTTCACTCTTTCTTGTTAGCGGGTCACTCGTGAAAAATCATTTGGTAGGGCGCAATAGATTGTGTTGCATCATATGCAACAGATTATAGTTTGGTAAACATCACACAACAGCGTGACAAAGGAGAAAGATAATAAAGTCTATAAGCAACATCATGGTTATTGTACCTGTGCGTGATATCCCAGCCTGCAGGTAAGAAACGAGGATGAACAGCTTCAACAAATACTTGTCTCCACCTTTGACAAAACTGACGAATTCCATTATCACCATATTCCTTTAATAGATTATCCACAACTTGTTTACCATGTGGTCCATGTCCTAATAGAGATAATTTTGATTTATGCTTAGGATGGGCAATTCCATCGTTTCTGGTAAAATAATAGTCAACTTTTCCATTTGGTGGACTTTTATTATAGCAACCAACATTTACACTAGAGACATTCTCCGCACCAGAAACTCCACTTCTATCTGAGGTCAAGTTCTTCTCAACCACAGCAGAGGGTTTTTCGTCGATCACTGATTCAACGTGTAAAGAGGGACTGCATACATCCTTCACCATGAAAAACTCACGATCTTCTTTTTGGCTAAATCCCACTGCTTTAGTATCTGAAGTATCAACTGCTGATATATCTGGCACTGCGGATGTTTCTGTACGTGTGTTCTTTTCCTGCCCTGCATCTGGTGGGAAGCTTTCTTTGGAATGCTTAAAAGACAATCCTTTCTTCCTTTCAAGTCGTCTTCTCTCATGAGGACTCATGCCAACTAGCAAGGCTCTCTCCAAATCCTCCTCAGAAATCTCCCTTCCTCCAAAATATCTCATAACAATCTACAAAGAGATGGACAGATGATTTTACTCAGAGAAATGTCCGTTAAAATATAAGCAATGTGAAAGGCATATCCAAACAACCAAAACATTTGTAGCATGAAAAGCGAAAAAATTACGTCGAAAACTAAATAAAACAAAATGTAGAAGTGCTATATCACAAGGTCTCTTTCAAATATTTAAATAGGAAGTTTTGCAAAACACAAGCTAAAAGTAGAGTCCTGTACCTCGGTCAGTTCTTCACGACGCTTAGATGGCATTCTTGGTCCATGCCGCAAAAGAGCCATTGCAGCTGTCCGCAATTGTAAAGGAGACACACCTGCCTCATTACCTTTTGCTGACTCGGATGATCCAGAAATAATTCTGGCTTCTTCCGCATCAACCACTTTACGAACAAAAAGAGGAACTCCAAATTCTTCAGCAACCTGTTTTTTATGCTTCTCAGCAGCAGCATGGGCAACTTCATGGCAGTCCACACAAAGTAGGACAATATCATGAGAACGGTGGCTTTTCAGATGTTCAGGGAAATGCATTCTGTAGCATGAGGGAATTATACGGTAACGTAAGTAGTGATTTCTTTCACCACAGCCGACACATATATTCTTTTTACTTTGTATATAAAAGTCACTGTCTTCATCTTCTGGACGACCCTTGGGTTCAAAAAGAAGCATAATGGCAGGTGGATTTTCATCAACAACTTTTGCCAAGTCCCGACAAAGATACCTGAACGATATAAAAAGTTTTATCATCTAAACAAAAAGCATTTGGATCAAAGCTGAAAAGAGACGAAAAGCTTGCCAACCATTCAAGCTTCTTCTGATCACAATAACAAAGCAACCGCCCATCATTGGCATAAATCCTGCAATTATGATAAACTGGAGATTTGCAAGAAAATTTTTGAACAAACAGATCTCGAGAAGCCTTCCTAGAAACATGCTTTGAAATTTTAATCACATTTTGTTTTGAGACTAATGTCAGCTTCGAACTAGAATTAACCAACAAAGCATAATTAAAGACTGATATTCGGCAGCTCCCTCTTGAACCCAGACAATTCTGAAGAATCATTGGAAAAATGTCATCAGGATTGCCTATCTTGTCCTGGAGCAGACAGTAAAAATCATCCAAATGGCTGCAAACAACAGGGGATGGAGATGCAAGGCCAGAACTCAAATCCACATTAAGATCAGCTTCAGCAATGGTGCTACCTATATCTTCCGATGTAGATGGAACTTTATCAGCAATAGCAATGATCGCCTGATCTGACAATACATATCTCAAGCTCTCATCATGGACACGAGCCTGAAAATAAGTAGAGTACATAGAGGCTTAATCTAAAGATGCAAGTTTAGAGAATCTGACCACGTGAAGGTAAACAAGTACATTAGGTGTGACTGCATGATAATTATTATAATCTTATTATTATAATTGGACTTTTGTGATACCATATGATTATTCGACCAATACAACCTACTACAAAGTACTATAAAGACGAGCATTAGGGGCTAATAAGGGACCTGCCGAATACGAGCTAACATAACCAAAAGAAAGAATTGAAGTAGCAACATGCCTGCGTGAATGTGGGTATCCCAAATCTTTAAATCATCAAGTAAATAAACAATTATATTCTAAGTGACACTTTTAAGCAAATAACTAATATTCTTTAAGACACCGACACGTATCAAATCAGTGAGAAGAATTTATGATAAAAGGAACAACGCACAATTTTCATTCGTATATCAGAACATGACATGAGGTTCTCCTGTGAAAGTTACCTTTTCTAGTTCGGTGCTGGTCTGATCAGCACCGGCTACCTATCCTACTTGGGAATTGTTCCTGTGTGATAGCACATACCATTTCAAGTCACCAGTAACCATGATAGCACATATCCATGAGGTTCACAAAACATGATATATCACACTAGGGATTTCTCAATCTAACAAGCTAGTTCCTTACCCAGCAATTTATTTACTTATTTATTTATTTATTTTAAAAAAACAACCACGGTAACAAATTATTCTCGGACCTACAGCTAAACTGTGCCTAAATTTAAGAACATAATACTAACCATTAAATCTCTCCATGCACACAGTCGCCTCACCACATCCTGAAACCAAAACAAAAAAGTTGTTGCCTTAGGGCACTGAGTCTGTATAAAGATGATACGTTGCATTAAGAAAAGGAAGCAACCTGGAATTCACCAGAAGCTGATGAAATGCCACCTTGACCATTTAGATGACGGGAAAAAATAGACGAAGCAGCAGAATCTCCAGGAGAAGCTTCAATCTCTTTTGTGTAAAGTTGCAAACATGTCATGTTTGATCGCCGACTAGCCTCAAGAACAAAACGGAATTTGTCATCGGGAGAAGAGTTTTCTGATACAATGATATTTTTATCATTCCAACGCTAAGAATAATATTGCATGTAGACTTTGAGAAAGTTTCTAAAGATCAAAACTAAGCATAGGCTAATAAATAGTCATATATGCTCAAAGTTTTTGCTTTTTAATGTACGCGATATTCTTTGATGACTGCATTCCTTGTGCTTACCATTTTCTTCTTGTTCCATTTCAGCAACTAGACAATTTGCAATATACAATAGATAGTGTGCATCTGTTCGAGCATATTGCACCATTTCCATCGACAAGGGACGTTGTCTCCAGTCTTCACGCTACAATCCAAAAAAATAATTGTCCGAATCAGGTATTTTGAGAGGTTGGTACATCTACAGACCCCAAAAGTTATTTTATTTTATTTTAATATTTAAAAAAAAAACGATATCTTAACAGCTTCGGAAATGAAAAGAGAATATCTTGGAAAATCACAGGGCAACAACCATAGAACATTCTGAAAATACTTGCAGATCTGATATAGCATAAGGGAACCCAACTTTTACATTATCACACTTTTCTTACTCAAAACCTAACAAGATGACATTCTCTATAACAATCTCATTGAACACAAGAAAGTTTGAAAGAAAAGATATTGAATACTGGAATCAAGGGCACACCTGTAACAATTTGTTGGTTGTTACACCGCAGTATGTCTCAAGAAGATAAGCTAGTGACTTCTGTGGTTTCAATAACAACTCACATGCCTGCAGAGCAATGACACGCAGAAAAATTAAGAAATAAGAAGTTGCTGGACACATGCAATTAAAAAAAGATTTGCGTAAATCCAATACTGAAGCTAACCTTTGCTGTGTCAAATAAATTAACCACATATATATGGAAGTCCCTCTGCAGCCACAGAACGTCATTATCTGCGCCATGGAACACCTACATTCCAACAGTTCAAAATCAACAGCAAGACAATAATCCATTACATGATCGAACACCCCCAAGAAGTTACAAGCAATTCGGAGATTATTGTCATTAAAGATGCAAAAAGAAAAATAAATTCAAAGTCATGGAACTTAAAATGCCGATTAATGTAACAAAAACGCGTGACTTATATACCTTACAAATGCTAGGATCAGCAAAAACCGGGCAAAGATAGCGCATATAATCATGGAGAGCAATGGTATCGACCAAATAATCCTCCTTCTGAGTAGAAACCTGGTCAAATTTCACCAAGAAAATTATATCACAAAAAAGGAAACTTATAGTAGTTAGCAGCGTTTCAGCAAGAAGTCTCAATCAATAATTCACCTGTATCAAAGCTGTAAAACCCAGAAAGGATCTGAAGCTGTGTTGCTCCGTATCAACTGCAAAGACTCTCTCTTTACTCAACATGGCCGCGAGCTCCTTCAATTGCAACTCAGTCTCCACCCAAACGTACGATTCACTCATCTCCAAATCAAAATTTCCACTAATTAACTTGAATTCAAGCTTCGGATTCTCCATTAATGCCGTTATCTCAGCCTCATAGGGATGCGAATTCGAAGCAGGCTCTGATCCAACATCTGCTAAATTTAGCCATCTTCCATTAATTTTCCACTAAAGCTTACAGTCTTAAAATCTAGCATTTCAATCTCTCTCTCTCTCTCAGTCGAAAAATCTAACATATCAATCTCTCTCTCTCTGTCTCTCTGTCTCTCTCTTTAAGTCAAAATCTCACTTTTCTCCTTTAAGCATTTATTGTTCAATTCATACAGAATTCAAAACTTTATATTCCTCTGAACTATTCTCCAATCTTCCAAACAAAAACAAAAAAAAAAATCATTTTCTTTCTGTTTCTCAAACTTTCTTCGCAACCAAACGCAAGAAAAGACACAAACTTTGGATCGCAGAGAATGTGAAATGTACCTTTAGTAGTAGAGTCGGAGGTGTTCAAGTGCTTGAAAGCGGAATAGGAATTGTCAGCTAAAACGCGCTTGAAGGAGAACTGTGGCTTGGGGTCGGCTCGTAAATAACAGGAACTTCGGGGACGTTTTTTATTTTGCCGCCGGCGTCTCCGGCGACACTCTGCGATGAAGAGGATTGAGAGTGCTGAGAGAGATACGATGGTGATAAAGAACTTGAATTTTGCAGTGTTTTCCATTTTCCGTTTTTTTTTCTCTGTCTCTGTTTTCCCAGTGAATGGTATATACTGGCGGGAAGGCGGCGGCCGTCCAGGGAGGAGGAATGGAAAATGAGGCAAAAGACTTTTATTATGAGATAAAACGACAAGTCGTTGTGATCTTAATAGTTTGTAATGTTAGCCATGAGTTCGAGTTTTCAAATTGGGGTAATTTTTAAAAGTACCCGGAGCCCATTTATTTCTTCTCTTTATTAATATTAGCCCATATATTTATATATTTTAAACTAAAACTAATTAAGAAATTGAGTTTTTTAAAAGAGATATTTTAATAAGTTAAGTATTTAAAGATATAAAATTTCTAATTTTGTCTCCAAATTGAGATTTTGCATTGAACTATTCACCATTATTTTATATATATATATGTATATATATATATATTTTTTAAATTTAATTATTAGTACTAATATTAATTTAGTCATGAAGATTATTTTCTATAAAATTTAATTTCATATGACATACGTGATTAAGGAGGGAAAAAAACGCCACTCCTCCACTCTTACAACAGATCCAAAGGAGCTAGAGACTAGGGCTTTCCACGGTATGTTCTATTCCGGTCTGAAACCGTTAGGTTTTCATACTGGATCATTATTAGAGATTTTAAAAAAGTTCATACCGGACTAGACAATTTGTATCATCCTTTAAATTTAAAATTAGCATTCTAAAAGTTACAAACAATAATAACATGTAATTTAAAGCAAAAGTCCGTGACTATAAACTAATAATATTATAATGATTCAAAAAATAAGAATAATAATATGCAATCCAAAACAAAAGTTCATAACTAATAATGATTGATAACAAATAATAATAACATACATTCCAAAGCAAAAGTACATAACTAATAATATTATGACCATCCAAAGTCTAAACATAATAACAAGATTATCCAAAATTTAAATATAAATAACATAGTTATTTAATGACTCGTTCATTTCACCGATTTGAGTTTTTAATTCTAATTTTACTATAGTTAAAAGTTCTCACAAAAAATCACATCTAACTTTTTTGTGTTAGTTAAAAACTCTCATATAAAGTCACATCTTAGCTCGAATTGAAAACTCGAATCAACGAACTAAACGATACCTAAATAGTCTAATCCGGTCTGAATCGTTTTTAAAAAATTATAAACTAGACTGGACTGCTAATAAAATGGTCTAGTTTGATTTCAAACCGTTTAAAAACTATATTGATGTAGAGCGGAACCGGAGGTTCCAAACTGGGTTGAACCATAATTTTCAACCGGTACGTGCATAGCCCTAACTAGATTTTTATATTCTGGCGAAAAAAATGAAAACGACACAAATAAACGCACTCTAGAAACGACAAAATTAACTGAAAACGACATCCAATATCACAATTACAACAACAATAATCTATAAGACTCAGTAAACAACGTCACTATAAAAGCTTCAAACATATGATAAACGATGATAGTTTCATAAAACGACTTCATAATGAAACAACACTTTTTTTCTGTTAAAACGACAACAATCTAAATAAATGTCATCACGAAGAAACAAATATCAACCGAAAACAATTTAGCAAAAAAACAAAAATATCAACCAAAAACAGTTGAGCAATATATATATATATATATATATATATATCAACAGGAAAAATATAATAAGAAAGCGGAAAATTAAAATTTTGAGAACATCATGGGAAGTTGGAAATATTTTATTTGTTGCCAAAAAAACGACATGCAATTTGAAAACGATATCTTTTTTTTTTTTTTTTTGAGAATTGACAACGATACGTTTTATCTTTTATTAATGCAAAATGTATAATATATTGCTGACTTTATCCTTAAAAAAAAGGGAAATGGTAGGAAATATGCCAATAAAAACTTAAAAAAGTATATAGGTTAATTTTTAGTTATAGAAATTAATATGCTATAATTTGTTAAGTTATGGTTCATAACCAGATAAATTATGGATAAACTTGTCAAATTATAGTTCATAACCAGACAAATTATGGACAAAAACCGGGAATAACTTGTCAAATTATGGTTCATAACCAAACAAATTATAGACGAAAACAGTAATTTGGCATATTTATTAACTTATGTAAACTATTAACCTATTAATTTTAATTCATCTCAAGTCTTAGTTTATTTCTTTATTTCACCCTAAAAAAAATTGCTGACTTTGATTGCTTCTCATGTTCATACAGTGAAGGCCAGAGCCCATGTTAGGGCTTTGGAATATGGCCCTTTTGGAGAAAATTATAGAATAAAAGTGTATAAATTTAAATTTTTTTATTTTTAATAAATACCTTTTTATTGATATAATTATTTGATTAAAAAAGTTATGAATTAAGAATAAAAATAAAAATCTTAACCCATACATTTTTAAAGAGTATTTGTCAAGATTACCCTCATTTTGATGGCTCTAAAAAATGTAACCGTTTTTCAGTTTTCTAATATAACGTCTCACAGTTTTCTTATTTTTATTGTTGCAAAAGAAGAAAAATTAACATAATCTAATGGCTTCCATTAATCCGGAAGAGGAAGGAAACAAGAAGGAAATAGTGGAACCAATTGTTCTTCACCACTCTCCGCAGAAAAAGTTGGAAGATATCTCGGAGAATATTAACTTACAAGAGAAATTGTCACAAGTCGAAAAGAAGGTTTCTGGTCATGAACATAGAAAAATTATTAGAAATCTGAGAGAAAATTTCAATGCCATAAAAAGGATTTTTGAGGATCGTGGAGAAAGCTTGGAAAGAACTAGGATTTACCAAGTTTGGCCTGGAAAAAATGTACTACATCTATATGCTACATTTATCTCAATTTAGTTATAACTAAAAAGTTGGCACATAAAAGTACCAAAACCAGTGCATATTGGAGTTTTCTGAAATCAATCGACTTGCAACTTTTTCTTCATCAGTTTTTTCAGTCAAAACATTTTTTGGATTTGTCCTTTTCTTAGCAATTTGTCAGTATATGTATGTCACTTGGATTTATTGTTAACTTTGTTACATTATTTTCAGGTATTTTTCTTTCATGGGCGACTTGTATGTGGTCCAGATCCCAGGGGGTTGCTCTTGACAACAGTTTCTATAATTCTCTCTAGTTGGATATTTTCTGTGTATATAGGACAAGATCTACCAAATCGTTCCGGCCTCATTGTCACAATCTCAGAGATTCTGACATTACTTGTTAGTACCGTTTTTTTTTTTTCTTTCCTTTTTTTCAAATTTGAATTGTCATTTGAAAACACAAGTTGTACAAAATTATGTGACGCAGAAGCAAAAGTATAAACAAAGTAAAATGAACATCAATCTTAACCTTTCCTGATCTGTAACTGTACTTATATTGCAGGTTCTTGGAAACCTTGTTCTGGTAAGTGCAATTGATCCCGGCATTATTCCCAGAAACGAGCAAGATCTTACGGAAGATGCTAGTACAAGTAATAACTCTGGAACATCCAGAAAGAAAAGAATTACTATTAACGGGGTGGAATTGAAACTAAAATATTGTCGCATTTGTAAAATTTGTCGGCCACCTAGGAGTTGCCACTGTGTGGTATGCGACAATTGTGTGGAGAAATTTGATCACCATTGCCCTTGGATTGGTCAGTGCATTGCGCTGGTATGATCAATATATATAACCAACAAACACTCATGCAAATCTTCCTTATAATTAAATTAAATTTCTTTTTAACTTAGTCAGTTACTAAATTAATTTGATCAGTGTCACTTTGTGCAGCGAAACTACAGATTTTACTTGACATTTGTGGTGTCCGCTTTAGCTTTTTTCATCTATTTGTTCTCCTTCTCTTGCTTGAGAATCCACCAAAGAATGACGAATAGTGGAACTAACTTACTTGGATTGCTTAAGAACTGCCCTGAAACGCTTGCTTTGGCCTTGTTTAGCTTGGCTGCTGCCTTGTTCTTGGGTGGGCTTGTCTTATTTCATGTGCATCTCATCGTAACGAATCAGGTTTATTTTATTCTTTTTATTGACCCACTCATGTAACAATTATTATGTGACGATTTTATCAGTTCTTTGATTATTTTTTGTTTATGTCACTCATTGATTATTTTTTGTTTATGTCACTCACACGTCAAATTCTTCTAGTAATTATAATAATTACCGACAATTATGATAGTGCGTGCTAACATTACGTTTAGAAATTACTGATGCGATAGTTGCATGACTCTAAGTCTATTAGTAGTTTATTTTTTTATTTTTTTTAGGGTAACTCTTTTTTATTACTTGTTTTTTGAGGGTGCATTAGTAGCTAATTCTTGATTTATCTCTGTTTATTTATTTTTCTAGACGGCCTATGAGAATTTTAGGCAACGATTTGCGGGTTCCAAGAGTCCTTATGACATGGGAATTATTGGCAATGTTAAGGAGTTTCTGTTCAAGCCAATGCCACCTTCTAGAGTTGATTTCCGAGCACAAGTAACACCAAGATTCCACCATCCAACGGCTGCAAATACTCATGAAGTTTGAGGAAGAGATTAGCTAGTAAGTACATAAGCCATCATGAAGATAGCCAACAACCCTATAGTGATATGACTTGTATAAGTATCTTCTTGACAATATTACTAAAGCTTAAGTGTAGGAGTCATAAGATCTATTTCTTGTAGTACTTGAAGTGAAATAAATACGGACCCGTTTAGTTCGCTGATTCGAGTTTTTAATTCGAGTTGAGATGTAATTTTATGTGAAAATTTTTTACTGTAGTAAAAAAATTAGGCTCCGTTCACTTCGTTGATTTGAGTTTTTCTACAGTAAAAAACTCTCACAAACAATCACATCTAACTTTTTTACTACAGTAAAAAGCTCTCACATAAAGTCACATCTCAACTCGAATTTTAAACTCGAATCAGCGAAGTGAACGGGGCCTTAGATGTGATTATTTATGAGAGCTTTTTACTGTAACAAAACTCGAATTCTAAACTCGAAGTAGCGAAATGAAGGAGACCGTATATGATTCGTCGATATGATTAGCTTTTTCCCATTTAAGTATTTTTTTTTAATGTGCTAGGTCTTAAAACATTTATTGGTGTGCTGTCTTAGGGAGAAGCAAAGGATCTTTTTTTGTGGGGCTAGTAATATCAGCAATTACCACTGGCTTGATTATCACGTGTGTGGTGTGGGCAAAGGTGTTGGATTTTAAAACATGGACATGGGGTCTTTTCTTGGAAAATCTGGTGATAGAATTTATGTACATTCAAAATCATGGTAGATCTTACATTGAATGTAAGTTTTATTAATAACTTTTGTTATGCATTAGGTATGGCCTCTGCACCCCAAGTCCACACATGTTTAGCTTCTCTTGTTGGAGATATCAAAAATGCCAAAATAATAAGAAATTAAAATTCAAAAAAAAAGATTTTAAATGAGTAAGGGCCACATTTGTCATGGGCCCGCAGACAGGCATTAGTGGTTGGAAGGATGTGGCACACTGCAGATGGGCCATGATGGTATTTATTGAGGCCCAGTAACGTGGGTGTGGGACGCACGTATTAGGCCTTTCATGGTTTAAAATCGGGTGTAATCTTATCATCCTCTTATTTTTATTCTTTACTCTTAATTTATATTTTTTTTAATTAAATAATTATACTAATAAAAAAATATTTATAAAAAATAAAAAATAACAACCCAAACTCATACGCTTTTTAAAGATAAATTCTTTATTTTTTTTTTAAATCAAGGTGATTTACACATATAGTAAAGTTTTGATATCAAAGTTTAAATTTAACAAAAATTTTAAAATATTACAAGAATAACAAAATTTTATATCATTAAAATAATGACTATATCATTATATAATATAAAATATGATATCATTATGATAATTACTATGCCATTTTTACTATATTTATAATAGAGAAAATGCAACAAATAACACTTTTCATGATCATGTTTGAAGTAAATGACACATGTATAAAACATTAGAAAATAATGGCACAATCAGTTTTAAGGTTTCCGTTTTTACTTTTTTACCCTCAACCTTAATTTTCTCCTTCCTAATCTCCCAGTCAGCCATATCTCCACTCTCTCTCCCTCTTCAAATCTCCAAATCTCTCTCTCTCTCCTCCCACGACATCTCTCTGTCTATGTCTCTCTTTTCATATCTCTATCTCTCTCCCCTCATCCTCCTGATATTACTTATAAATACAATTTTTACAAGTCGTTAGTGCTGACGGTCGGATTTTTGTATAAATATAGTAGTATTTACAAGGAATTCCTTAATTAGATATCCTTTTAATTGCTTTGTCCAATCCCTGTAAATGCTCAATCAAGGATTTGTTTGGTCAATATCCTCCAATACTCTCCCTCAAGTTGGAGCATGAAGATTTGAAATGCCCAACTTGAACAACAATTCACCAAATTAATCCATCCCAAAAGCTTAAGCTATTAGGAGGTGAACCAACAATAGTTTTATACTTTAACACTTCCCCTCACGTGTGGGCTGGACAATGGACAATCGTGTAGGTAAATTAATTGGAAAGCCTAACACGTGAATATTTAAGCCCGAGATATATTAAAGACCCAACACGTGACAATTTTTAAATGGAGATAAAGAGTACAATTACGGAGATTTAAACTCAGGATCTCTCGCTCTGATACCATGTTAGTTTACCAATCCATCCCAAAAGCTTAAGCTATTAGGAGGTGGACCAACAAGTTTTATACTTTAACAATATTTACTAATAAATATGGTGTTTATTGGTAAATACGGTGTTTAACGGTCATCAAAATCGATAGCTGAAATTTTGAGTTTTGGGTAAATATGATATTTACGAGTAAATATGATATTTATTGGTAAATACAGTACTTACCTGTCGCCGGAGCCGATGGCTGAATTTTTAGATAAATGTGATATTTACGAGTAAATATGATATTTATTGATAAATACGATATTTATCAGTCATCGGTGGCAGAGCCGGTAACCTGGTCACTGATGAATATGATATTTTGTTAATAAATACAGTATTTATCAGTATATACGGTAAAATATTGTATTTACCCATACCTCGGCCATTGGCGCCGGTCGAGCTGACGCCGGTAAAAATTTGGTTATAATGTACTAATCACTCTATAAATTGTGCCATTTCGCTCAGTCTCCCTTTACAATATTTTAAAATTTTTACTAAATTTCAAGTGTAATTACTTCTTAAAATCGGGATACTAAAATAGTGGGCCTGAGTGAGAGTAACCGACAGATAGGAAAAAGAAAAGGAAAAAAAATATTTCAGGAGACAGGAGCCTTTTTATTCACTTTTTTTTTTTTTTCTTTCTTTATTTCCTTTTCCTCGTATTTTTGAATCAAAATATATTGTTACCAAAAAGATCTAGTAACACCTGTAACACGAAAGTTTCTATTTAATAGTTTTAATTAATGAAATTTGGATTTTTAAGTGTTAGTTTACCGATCCATCCTAAAAGTTTAAACTGTTAGGAGGTAGGTCAACAATAATTTTATATTTTAACACTCTCCCTCACGTGTGGGCTAGACAATGGGCAATCGTGTGGGTAAATTAATTAGAAAGCCCAACACGTGAATATTTAAGCCCGATATATATTAAAGACCCAACACATGATGATAATTTAAATGAAGATAAAGAATATAATTATCGAGATTTGAACTCAGGACCCCCGCTCTGATACTATGTTAGTTTACCAATTAATCCCAAAAACTTAGATTGATAAACTAACATTAAGTAGGTAATGCATTAATGTTAACCGCAAAAGATACATGGTAGGGAGATAGGGATTTGCCAAAGATTGGAATACTTAACTTTGCCGGAAACTTCTCAAGGCATGTTAAAGTTGAACCTTCTAAATGGGATTTAGGCACTAAATTAGTGTAATCCTGATTAGCTGACTAGACTGAAACTTAACATAAAGTTTACCAAATAATGTACTTGTTTACTCTTTTCACTTCCTTATAATTTATCGGCAGTCATTTTATTGGGAGCATAAACAAAAGCAAAGCTTAGAAAGATAAGGTCTCTTTATTCCCCTTTGGAATTTGGATTCCGCAAATCTTAGAAAGGGCCAGGAGGCTCTTCTTTTCTATGCAATCTTAGTCTAATGCTTTTATCTTTTTCTTACTTTTAAGAAAAAGAAAAATGTGAAACACAATACAAACCTGTTGAGAGCGTTTATAGAATGATTTTGTTTTGACTTTTGAGTATGTATAAACAAAATGAGAATATTTTGAGAATGGTGTTGGGAATTGTTTTTGAAATTGTGGTTTTTCTAAATAGATTTTATTGAGTAATAAAAAAAATGAAACTATGTCTGATTATGTTTTCCAATTAACAAAATTTAGAAAACTCAGTATAGCAATGTTAATAAATCTAAAAAGATGAAAAGGAAAAAAAAGAAGAAAATGACTATAATATTTTCTCTTTTTAAAATTAAAAAAGAGACTAATTCTAAATTGTGAGCCGCGTTTAAAAATGCATACAAACTAAACACGATTTAAGACGATTTCTAAATGAATTATCTCGAGAAACGGAAAAAAAGGGAAAAATAGTTCTTAAAATAGAACTAACAGGCCCAAATTTCTCTCTAGAAAAATAGGTTTTAATCCTTATAAATTGTCATTATTTACAAAAAAGATGGATCCCATTAAGTTTAATTCCACGTATACACACTTAATGAGACGTACCTTATGCTTATGGTTAAAACTCCAGGGTGCTCTTCTCACTATTATCTAACAACCACTTAATTATGTGCGACTGTCACATAGGTAGTGCCATGTATGTACGTACCATTTTACTTACTGCGGACGATTTAATAAGCCCACATGATGTTGTTCATTTCATGCAAAAGCTAACAATTTGATGAAACAAATTAATATTGGAAAAAAGCAATCATGCACTTATCATATGTCCCAAGTGACCAAAGAACCTTCTGTCACACTCAGACTCAAAAAGCGGGTCATCATAATAAAAGGTGGTTCTGGTTCACCACCCATATGGCTTGATATTCCTTTCCTTTTTAATTACCTGCACTATATATAAGCGTTTTTTCAGTAGCTCACAGTATCAATTTTTAACCGTTAAATATAATCAAATCACATTAAATTAAAAAAAATATACACAACAAACAAATTTTAATATAAATATGCGGTTAAAAAGTAATTACGGATAATCTATTTTTGTGAATTATCAAACAAAATCTCTCTAAAAAATATTGTATAATCCCTACTCTCTCATAGAGAATGAACCTCACTTGTGGGAACCAAGTGGGGCCCATTTTTTTCTGAAAGAGTGGGGATCTAACTCCATCAAAACAAAATAGCATTGCTGTATAAATAACATTGCTCTATACGTATACATGTACCACATATGAAAGGACAAATTTACCCTCTTGCTTGATCATAAAGACTCTTTGCCAAAACAGTGAGTCTTGAAGTTGAAGTGCATGATCAGTTTTGTCTTTGACAGAGTAGTACTTGGCACCTACCAAGTAGATGCATATTGGTCTCC